TACCGCGAACACTGATCCAGTGATCAACAACGCAACTGGAATGCGGTAACATGTGTCAACCAAGTCAGCGAGCCTGACTACACGATTGGAAAGTAAAACCTATCTATGTACACTGGATGTTGCTTCCTGATTTCAACACAATTGAGTCCATGTACAACCTCAAAACAGGTTTTACTGGGGAAACATAACTATTTACATTGAAAGTTGCTCTCTGTTTTCAACTAGACAGACTTCAAGTACAACATCAATGGAGAAAACTTCATACTGAACAATGGAATGATGTCATCAAAGGTTTATAACTGACTGTGTGGGGATCCTTGATAATGGTCTTAGAACCGATTGAGGATTGGTTGGCCTGGATCTCTGATGTTGCTGATTGTGTGCTATGTCCTCTTAAAAAATATGAAATCTGTTTCCATGAATTCCAAGTCCTATAAAATCAATGCCAGTCAATTTAGGCCATCAATTTCCTTAAGATCACATGAGTAGTTCCATTAAGGAAACAAAAACACTGTCAGAAATAATGAAAAAAGGTAGCACTCATAAAACCGAAAATGTAACCTCTTCATGATTCTGTTCCAGTAAATTCAGTTGGAGATAACCTAATTCAACAAGCTCAACTATATCCTCAGCAAAGGTTGTAATGTAAGCACACTTAATGCCGATGACCCCCTCGACAAAGCATTTGTTTGTTTCTTCCTTCACAACACACATGGCTGCCTGAAAATATTCATTGCATACTGTCAGGGTACAATGACATTGTTACTTAGGTAAACCACCCAGCTTTGAACTGCATGATCAACAAATCCACTTTGTCACCTTGAAAAACCTGATCAATATCCACTTGTCATCTTGAACAACCTAACCAATATCCACTTGTCATCTTGAACAACCTAACCAATATCCACTTGTCATCTTGAACAACCTGATCAATATCCACTTGTCATCTTGAACAACCTAACCAATATCCACTTGTCATCTTGAACAACCTGACCTGAATATCCACTTGTCATCTTGAACAACCTAACCAATATCCACTTGTCATCTTGAACAACCTAACCAATATCCACTTGTCATCTTGAACAACCTAACCAATATCCACTTGTCATCTTGAACAACCTGATCAAAATCCACTTGTCATCTTGAACAACCTGACCTGAATATCCACTTGTCATCTTGAACAACCTGACCTGAATATCCACTTGTCATCTTGAACAACCTGACCTGAATATCCACTTGTCATCTTCAACAACCTGACCTGAATATCCACTTGTCATCTTGAACAACCTAACCTGAATATCCACTTGTCATCTTGAACAACCTGACCAATATCCACTTGTCATCTTGAACAACCTGATCAATATCCACTTGTCATCTTGAACAACCTAACCAATATCCACTTGTCATCTTGAACAACCTGATCAATATCCACTTGTCATCTTGAACAACCTGACCTGAATATCCACTTGTCATCTTGAACAACCTAACCAATATCCACTTGTCATCTTGAACAACCTGATCAATATCCACTTGTCATCTTGAACAACCTAACCAATATCCACTTGTCATCTTGAACAACCTGATCAATATCCACTTGTCATCTTGAACAACCTGACCTGAATATCCACTTGTCATCTTGAACAACCTGATCAATATCCACTTGTCATCTTGAACAACCTAACCAATATCCACTTGTCATCTTGAACAACCTGATCAATATCCACTTGTCATCTTGAACAACCTGACCTGAATATCCACTTGTCATCTTGAACAACCTGATCAATATCCACTTGTCATCTTGAACAACCTGACCTGAATATCCACTTGTCATCTTGAACAACCTGATCAATATCCACTTGTCATCTTGAACAACCTAACCAATATCCACTTGTCATCTTGAACAACCTAACCAATATCCACTTGTCATCTTGAACAACCTAACCAATATCCACTTGTCATCTTGAACAACCTGATCAATATCCACTTGTCATCTTGAACAACCTGATCAATATCCACTTGTCATCTTGAACAACCTAACCAATATCCACTTGTCATCTTGAACAACCTGATCAATATCCACTTGTCATCTTGAACAACCTGATCAATATCCACTTGTCATCTTGAACAACCTAACCAATATCCACTTGTCATCTTGAACAACCTGACCTGAATATCCACTTGTCATCTTGAACAACCTGATCAATATCCACTTGTCATCTTGAACAACCTAACCAATATCCACTTGTCATCTTGAACAACCTGACCTGAATATCCACTTGTCATCTTGAACAACCTAATCAATATCCACTTGTCATCTTGAACAACCTAACCAATATCCACTTGTCATCTTGAACAACCTGATCAATATCCACTTGTCATCTTGAACAACCTGACCTGAATATCCACTTGTCATCTTGAACAACCTGATCAATATCCACTTGTCATCTTGAACAACCTAACCAATATCCACTTGTCATCTTGAACAACCTGATCAATATCCACTTGTCATCTTGAACAACCTGACCTGAATATCCACTTGTCATCTTGAACAACCTGATCAATATCCACTTGTCATCTTGAACAACCTGACCTGAATATCCACTTGTCATCTTGAACAACCTGATCAATATCCACTTGTCATCTTGAACAACCTAACCAATATCCACTTGTCATCTTGAACAACCTAACCAATATCCACTTGTCATCTTCAACAACCTAACCAATATCCACTTGTCATCTTGAACAACCTGATCAATATCCACTTGTAATCTTGAACAACCTGATCAATATCCACTTGTCATCTTGAACAACCTGACCTGAATATCCACTTGTCATCTTGAACAACCTGACCTGAATATCCACTTGTCATCTTGAACAACCTGACCTGAATATCCACTTGTCATCTTGAACAACCTAACCAATATCCACTTGTCATCTTGAACAACCTGACCTGAATATCCACTTGTCATCTTGAACAACCTGATCAATATCCACTTGTCATCTTGAACAACCTAACCAATATCCACTTGTCATCTTGAACAACCTGACCTGAATATCCACTTGTCATCTTGAACAACCTAATCAATATCCACTTGTCATCTTGAACAACCTAACCAATATCCACTTGTCATCTTGAACAACCTGATCAATATCCACTTGTCATCTTGAACAACCTGACCTGAATATCCACTTGTCATCTTGAACAACCTGACCTGAATATCCACTTGTCATCTTGAATAACCTGACCTAAATATCCACTTGTCATCTTGAACAACCTGACCTGAATATCCACTTGTCATCTTGAACAACCTAACCAATATCCACTTGTCATCTTGAACAACCTGACCAATATCCACTTGTCATCTTGAACAACCTGATCAATATCCACTTGTAATCTTGAACAACCTAACCAATATCCACTTGTCATCTTGAACAACCTCACCTGAATATCCACTTGTCATCTTGAACAACCTGATCAATATCCACTTGTCATCTTGAACAGTCTAATCAATATCCACTTGTCATCTTGAACAACCTTACCAATATCCACTTGTCATCTTGAACAACCTGACCTGAATATCCACTTGTCATCTTGAACAACCTGACCTGAATATCCACTTGTCATCTTGAACAACCTAACCAATATCCACTTGTCATCTTGAACAACCTGATCAATATCCACTTGTCATCTTGAACAACGTAACCAATATCCACTTGTCATCTTGAACAACCTGATCAATATCCACTTGTCATCTTGAACAACCTGATCAATATCCACTTGTCATCTTGAACAACCTAACCAATATCCACTTGTCATCTTGAACAACCTAACCAATATCCACTTGTCATCTTGAACAACCTAACCAATATCCACTTGTCATCTTGAACAACCTGACCTGAATATCCACTTGTCATCTTGAACAACCTTACCAATATCCACTTGTCATCTTGAACAACCTAACCAATATCCACTTGTCATCTTGAACAACCTGACCTGAATATCCACTTTTAACCTCACCAACCAATGCACTTGGACGCCTTCAACACCCTGACCAACCAATGCACTTGGACTCCTTCAACAACCAATCCATTTGGACACCTTCAACAACCTGACCAACCATTGCACTTGGACACCTTCAACAACCTGACCAACCAATGACTTAAGTCACCTTATACCGCAGGGAGAGAGAGAAATTAAATTTAGTTAGATTAGGTTATTTGACAAAGTAAATTGCCAGCTAGACCTTGAAAAACACTGCAATTAGTTTTTAGATTTTCATCCTTTTCCCATTCACATGTCCTCAAATACCTACAGATGTGACACACGCTTTTTTTCTTATTTGATAAAATACCCATATACCAAATTCTACCAAATATGCTTGCTTACTGTGAATCCCAAGACAAAGAATTCTTATGCAATTTGTTTACCAACACACAAACATAAAAACTAAACATGAACATCTGGATTAGAATCGAGTAATCCATGCATGTTGTAAGAGGCAACTACTGGGATCGGTCAGACTTGGTTGATGGATGTCATCGTATCCCTACTGCATAGATTGATGGTGATTGTGTGAACCACTGGGCTCAAATATTTACAGACTCTTATCACATACCTTAAATATTGCTGAGTGCGGTTTTGAATAAATAAACAAAAAAGGCATATTTTATAATGGATGAAAATCAAATAATTTACAAACAAGAATAAATCAATGGTTTTGAAAAATACTGCTAACTTGAGTACAACATGATAGGGAATTGTCCAGTAGCATTTCCAAGTCTTCATAGTTTTAGTAGCCTCGTACTAACCAGGAAGCAGAGTGCTACCCACTCAGTTTGGTAACCGAAAGAATATTCTTGGTTTAATGGTTTAGTCTTTGGATGAAGACATCAACAGAAGAAAGTAACTTTGCTGACAGGAACGTTCATGGAGAGTTAATAACTGTTGAGAAACCATGAGGTTTAGATCCATTAACAAATGGCATTCCTTACAATATAACATTTTGAAGCTCTTTAGGATTTCAAAATAAGATATCTTCACCATACTTGATACCATACAAGGCAGAAGTCATTAGGCATATCCACTGAGGAGAAGAAAACAGCAGACCGTTCATCTCCTCAACTCTCTGTAACTACTTAGAACCCCACACCCAGCAATGGTGGATCATCATATGTACACTCTTCAAAGTTCTGATAATATTCATCTTCCTTTTACAAGATTAAAATATTCTCTGAAATTAAGTTTTCAATTTCTTAATCTGCAAAGAGCAGTATTAACTTCAATGCCTTTATCGTACTCAAGTACTTGAGAAACACTTGTCATCAAAGTTCAAAGCAACTTATAAGAACAATTATAATTACTCCAAGTATATGTATTTTTATATGGCAAAAGTAGCACTTCAAACTAAGCTACAATATATATCAGTAGCCAATCGAAATTACGCTACATTAAGGTTATAAGAACAACTTTTTCTGATTTCTGAAACACTGTCAAGTTCCGAAAGTCCACACTGTCAAGTTCCGAAAGTTAACACCACCACGTTCTGAATGTTAAGGCTGTCATGTTTACTGTTTACAATCATATAACCTGCTAACTCCTGATGCAAAGTTAGGATGTCTTATGGTGTGTAGTATATACCATGTATCCTCAAGGGCCAATTCAGTTTATTGAACCGCATCCCTTCATGAATTTAATTCATTATTCCGGACTAGCAGTATCAAATATGAAAATGAAGGTTTTTACTCAGTTTGGATCCTATCTATAAATACAAAAAATGGAATATATCCAAGTCAGGCAGGATAATAGTCAACACTCCTATATATTAGACCTGGGTTTGATTCCCCACATAGGTACAATGTGTGAAGCCCATTTCTGCTGTCCCCCGGCGTGATATTGCTGGAATATTGCTAAAAGCAGCACAAAACCAAACTCACTCACTCACTATCCTGACTGGGTGGCTGGGTGTAACAAATATAGTAAATCACAGATTAAATAAATATACAAACTGGATAGACAATGGATGAACTACAAAACACAACAACATGGCACTGAAGTTCACCATGGCACGTTTTCAAGACCTTAAAATGCAGTATTAAAAGCCATTACCAAAATTTCGATCACAATCACTCATATATGGTCTGCATAAATATAGGAGACTGCAAAAAAAATAATATCTGAGAATCTGAACAAAATATGAAGGCATCACATGGAAAGAAATATGCTTCCTTGGGAAGACAATTTCAGAGAACTGCTTATGAAGTGATAAAATTAATTTTGAAGAATTCAAATGCAAAGACAAAACAAAGTTATATATTTTTATTTTTGTGAAAAGGCCAGGAACATATGTTAAAATTCATAATAAAAAATGTAAAAGACAGAAATTTTCATGAACATGTTTTGCCAATTATTCAGTAGTTCTAATAAATATGATTTCTAATTAATACATACTATTAACAATTACCATAAGCTAAAAGTACAGGAATTTAATTTGACTAATATGTTTTTACCAATGAAGCCATGCCGGAATTGAACACGTTTAAAAAACTGTCTCTTGCACACAATGAAAAGATGTTTCGGAACCTTTTTCCATCACTAACAAGACTCTGATACTATGAGAGCACAGCTGGTGCCAAAAAGCCTGCAACTTGCATTTCAACAAAAATTTACATCAAAAAGTGTAAAAGACAATTACATGAGACAGGATAAGGAATCACACCTGATCACGTTTCACCAGTCACATTAACCAGGAAAAGTAACACATTGATGCAGTAGAAATGATATTCTTTTATGGATGCTTCACACACTACTCTATGGCATTTCTAAAGATCACCTTCACAGATTGAACAGATTGCAGAATACAGTCGCAAGGCTAGTTACTAAGACTAAGCCAAGAGAACACATCAAACCTGTTCTCAAATCACTTTATTGGCTACAAGTCCTTGAAAGAATACAATTAAAAGTGCATCTTGCGTAAGAATCAGTAAACAAGATCTGCCCTTACAGCAGTGTATCAACGTAACAGACACCTTCGTTCAACTTACAAATTCCTGCTTTGTACACCTCCCTACAATTTGAAGACATTTGGTGCCAGATCTGTCAATCACTCTGCTACTGTGCTATAGAACTCTCTTACCCTTAACTTTAGATATGCTCCTTCCTTGACTGCCTTTACATTATGGATGAACAACTTCTTTATTCGGATGATGCGACGTTTCGATACAGATTCTTGTATCGTTGTCAAGCAAGTATGAGAGTTCCTCTTGTCCTCTTGACAACGATACAAGAATCTGTATCGAAACGTCGCATCATCCGAATAAAGAACTTGTTCATCCATAAAGTTTGTCCTCAGCTTCACACTCCTGGTTCGCATGGACTTTTCTTGACCCATAATACCCGTAGGGTTAAATAACACTTTACAGGTTTATAAATGATATAATGACGTGCTGTAACTGTATCTTAATGTGATGAAGGGAAAGGGAAGTGACAGAATGAATATAGTTTTACGCCGCAGATAGCGATAGCAATTTTATAGCCATATGAGGGAGGCCTGAAAAAAAACATTTCAGTATCCAAGGAAACCAATGGTTATATGAAGAACTATCAGAAATATCATTTCTGAAAGTTATTAGTAATCATTGAATATCACAGACCGTTTCCGGAGTGATACATCTCATCTGGTTTTGGTGAAGCTGAGGCTGAGTACAACCTAACCACAGTACCTTTCCTCCAGCTAACATAATGAGGAGCCGAGAGGCATTGCCACTCTAATGACATCACTTGAGTACAATAGTTTCATTTCTGGTTTGGAAAACATGTGCCAAATACAATACAGTTAATACCAGAAACTCCTTTCCTCTAACTACCTCAATAAGAGAGTCACAAACACTTCCAGCTGAACAATATCACTTCTGGTTTAGGAAAAGACATGTTTAATGAAGTAAAGACTAAAAGCAAATTCCCATGCTCCCAGCTGCCTTAATCACCATTAAGTCGTAAGAAATGTGCGCAACCTTCTGGTTTAATCACCTTCCATTTCAGCCAATCACAGGCTTAATTATCAAAAACAGGAGCTCCTTCTCAGTACAAACCTGTCACACCAACAAGGCGAGTTGGTTTAGGACACAAAGAAACAAAAATGTCTCACAATTAGCCATTTTCATGGGCTTTAAGGAAAGTTATTATCATTTTGGTCACTGTAATAGTAATATGTACAAATCTCATCCAACAAAAGAAGACCTTCTTTACATGAGTGAATGACCTTGTGAGTTTGTATGACCTTCAATATCAGTTGAGGTTGTTATTAGTGGTGGTTCGATTAATTGAAATAATCAAAGATTGGTCGCAGTGACTAAACCAAGCCAATCGATCATAATTTCTCATAATCGAACACAGCCAATTTCGGAACACTTGTTTTCATTAACAATATTTTTCACATGGTTGGTTTTGTCTGTTACATTTTGTAAGCACTACAAGCTTGTTCCAAGTCATGACTGAATTTATCTTAAAGGCTCCAAGAAATTTATGTTCCTAACATACTAGTCATCCTTTAAAGATGTGAAATTTTGCCAAAAAGACCCAAAAGAACTACATGGTTTTTTTCCTTATTTTTATGTGCATTAACAAATTTCATAAATGACGCTAATCAATTATTTTCGATGATTGATCGGTTGTAATGAACCAATCATCAATTATGAGATTTTAACCAATTCCCAACACTAGTTGTTATTGGTTTCTTTAGCACATTCCCAAGGGATATCCAGAATGCAGATTATACAGAATGTGCAAAGGGGATATTCAATGTAATCATGAAAAATAACATACATTCCTCAGCATGTTAATCGAAAACAGGTCATCTTAACCTTCAACTAATTTCCCAAGTAGCTGTGACATGCACATTCAAATTACACAGCTACTGGCAATATTTCACATACATACAACAGATTAAAACCCTCAAAACATAAACAAATGTGTGTTGATAGTATTAACACAACTGGTGATATAGTGAATATGGTATCCAATTTGCCCTAGACGAATGTTGCGATTTTGGGACAAAGAAAAATGATACAATAAAAAAAGGAACATTTGTAGGTTAATGTGTCCTCTTATTCGTTTCAATCAGCATATGTTTCAAGAAAAGTCTATTTACAGGTAATCAAGAAGACTTCCATTTCTACAGTACCATTGTTAATGAATAAAACTAAAACACTCACATTCATTTCACAATCTTACACACAAGGTGAGGTGAGGTGAAATTGTTTTTTACGTCGTGCTTGAGAATATTTCGCTCATATGACGACGTGCATGCATGTGTATGTGTATGTGCGGCTGCTTGTACTAGCCCAGACTTAAGCTGGTTTTTATAGTGCTAGCCCACTGAGATACCATGCCGCAGTGAAGCATGAATACCCCCTCAGACACATTATACTGACTCCGAGCCGACCAGTCCTTGTTGTACCCATTAATGCCGAGCGCCAGGCAGGGACCAACAAGTACCATATTTTAACGTCTTTTGGTATGACGCTGTCGGGGATCGAACCCGCGACCTTCCGCTCTCCGGGCGGACGCTCTAACCACTCCACCATATTCACTGCAGGAGAGTTCATGTGTACATGACTGTGTTCAATCAGTAAATAGAGACCGGTAAGGACATACATGTACGTAACACGCTCAAGCTGGAAGATGACATTAGGTATTGCACACTTTGCAATGTTCACGAATAGTGTCTGACCCTCTGATAAATCCGGCAGATTCACCGGTGGTCCGATAGAAGTCTACAACCCGCCGGCCCCAGTGTCTGACTGTATGTTTCACAATTACTTTGACTGAAGTTGTTATATGTGACATATGACACTTTATAAATCTTATGTCTGTTAATAATTTCAATGCCAATTATAAGAAATGTTAAATCTGCAATTTGTGTTTAATTTTATTCTATGGGTCCTGTGAACTTTCAATGGGTCAGACAGACATCTGAAACTATCAGGACCCAATGTCCTGTTACTTTGAAACACTATCCGTAAACACTGACTTTGTCATCATGACAAAACTGTTGATTTTGAATTCACCATGCCATTAAGACAGTGGTCAAATGTTACATGTTATATTTGGGATCACACTGTATCAGATTATAGCACTTTGTTGGGTTGAGTCATACCTGGGATTCGAACCCACACTCTCAGAGTCAGGCACCTAATCGCCAGCACACGAAGCCACCGCAGCTTCAACAAGAATAGAAGTCGGACAACTGGTAGTCTAGACCACGGACTTTGTGTAACCCTCCGACAAGTGTTAATTGGCACGGCTCTCGCAGCTGAAAGCTATGAATACACAATGCCAGGGAATGAAACTCCCAAAACTTTCAGCCAGACCACAGGGCTGGTTAGATGTAAAACTTTCAGCCAGACCACAGGGCTGGTTAGATGTAAAACTTTCAGCCAGACCACAGGGCTGGTTAGATGCAAAATTTCAGCCAGACCACAGGGCTGGTTAGATGTAAAACTTTCAGCCAGACCACAGGGCTGGTTAGATGTAAAACTTTCAGCCAGACCACAGGGCTGGTTAGATGTAAATCTTTCAGCCAGACCACAGGGCTGGTTAGATGTAAAACTTTCAGCCAGACCACAGGGCTGGTTAGATGTAAAACTTTCAGCCAGACCACAGGGCTGGTTAGATGTAAAACTTTCAGCCAGACCACAGGGCTGGTTAGATGTAAAACTTTCAGCCAGACCACAGGGCTGGTTGGTTAAACTTTCAGCCAGATGGTTAGATGTAAAACTTTCAGCCAGACCACAGGGCTGGTTAGATGTAAAACTGGCCAGTCCTGACCAAAACTTACCTGCCTGCAAATAATTTAGGTTTGACAAGCATCCAAGTTTATCATCCAATGGAATTCATCATTTATTTTTACGAGTGAATGATTATAATGATCTATTATCCTGAATATATGATGAATATCTTCATATACATGTCTAACTTTTTACCCGACCATCGGGCAGGTGAATTTGAGAATCTGGCAGTGCGTGTTGAAAATAACACGTCCCAGGCAGGCAGGTATTTCGATCGCTGACAATGCCATTTAGAAAGTGGTCAAATGATGAATTCATGCGGACAGATCACATTAGGTGTCTGTCGTGCAACAATGTGCAACAATGTGCAACACCATTAACCACATGAAGTGTGGCTACTGAATGAAACAAAACTACTAAAATACAATTTCATTAGAACTTACCTCCTCTGAAATGTGGTTACAACGTTCAATCAGAGTTCGGCGCAGTTTGTGGACACTCTCAGAGGGCTTCTCTGGCTCTGGTTCATTCCCAAGAATAAAATGAGTAAATTCTGAAAATACATTATGTACATCGTCAGAAATAAATTTGACTACCATTGGACATGCAAATATAATGCACAGGAACATGTAAGTCCCATACATCACCAAGATCCATAATACCTGTTTGAAGGTATTTCCTTTCTAAGATAGTTCAGGGCATAACACATTTATACACCACTTAACTCCCTAACCAATTGGTTGAGGCTGTGTCCTTACTAAGATGTTCTAATATTACTTCATAATGAATGTCCAGATACAGATCTGACAACGTATCAGCTGAACCTTCTTCATTCAGATGGTTTAATGATGCATTCAGCAATATTCGGGCCATATGGCGGTCAGTAAATAATGAGTCTGGACCAGACAATCATGTGATCAACATCATGAGCAATGATTTACGCAGTTGGGATACACTGACATGTGTCAACCACGTCAGCGATCCTGACCACCCAATCCCATTAGTCGCCTCTTACGACAAGCACTGGCTGCTGAAGACCAATTCTAACCATGATCTTCATGGGTAGAACCTTCTTGAAACTGCTTACCCAACAATGCCCTTGTATCATTGTAACCAAATCATCATCTAATGAGGCCCTGTGATGCAGCTAAAGAAATTAATGCGGACTGTGGACCCAGGGGTAATGATAGGTATTGCCTAACATATGTCTGTTTAGACCCGTAAAGATCCAGGTTAGAATTGATCTTCAGCAACCCATGCTTGTCATAAGAGGCGACTAATCGGGATCGGGCTCATCAGGCTTGCTGCTCATGCTGGATTGACACATGTCATCAGTATCACCATTGTGCATATTGATGCTCATGCTGTTGATCACTGGACTGTCTGGTCCAGACTCAGTTTGGTTTATTTACAGACCACAATATCGCCATACCAGCTGGAATATTGCCCATGTGGGTATTCAAACCCGGTCACCCACACTGTTTAACATACTCTTAGTTAGCAAACTTAACAGGCTTCATAACAAAAAGGGTGATAATATTTCTGTACAACTAGTGAAGATAGTTCATCCAACAATACACCCTGTTTGATGTCTGTGAGCAGTAAAGTGCTCACAGTGACAAAGCATGGTTAAAATGAACAGATTACAAACTAATCTTCATTCTGATAAATTGACAGCCATAAAACTTGTGAATCATACTTAAGCTGAAAAACATTCAATTAAATTATCCTTTATTATTGTTTGAAACCAAATTCAAATATTAGAGATGTTCTCATACAACCTTCAAACAATTTTGCTCTGTAACGATCTATTCCATTTCTGTTCATAGAAAATGCGAGTGAGTGTGTAAGTGAGTATGGTTTTACACCGCTTTTAGCAATATTCCAGCAATATCACGGTGGGGGACACCAGAAATGGGATTCACACATTGTACCCATGTGGAGAATCAAACCTGGGTCTTCAGTGATACGAGTGAACGCTTTAACCACTAGGCTACCCCACCGCCCCAAGAGTGAGTGAGTGAGTGAGTATGGTTTTATGCCGCTTTTAGCAATAATCCAGCAATATCATGGCAGGGGACACCAGAAATGGGGTTCACACATTGTACCCATGTGGAGAATCGAACCCGGGTCTTCAGCGTGACGAGCGAACGCTTTAACCACTAGGCTACCCCACTGCCCCAAGAAAATACGAAGGTGAGCAAGACTGACCTGTAAGTAGTGGACCAGAGCATACTGTCTTCAGACAGCGGGTGAGGTAGCAGGTGGCCATTATAGCACCAGTCTCACACCTGCAATAACAAAGAGTCATTCATAATTCATTGCATTAATGTGATGCAACATTTATTACAAAATAATGTACTGAACAGCTGAAAACACTCATATCATTTGTCATCATCAACAATTTTACACTTGGGTAAAGGTTAAGCATTACTCTATTTATTGGTATTATGAAATTCTATGTATCTTTTGGAAATCTAGAAATAGCACAAAACTCAATTCAACACATGTCTACGATACCACTGATACCTGTGGAAATTTAGAAACAACCCTTTCCATGTGGTCATATGTGAGTAAGTGAGTGAGTAGCTTTAAGGTGAGACTTTGATCAGTAGTCAAAGGTTATATCAGTGTGAGTCAGATTACTGTCAGATTACAGCTTGAAGTGAGCATAGTTTTATGCCAGAAATAGGAATCAAACCCAGGTCTTCAGAGTGATGAGCGAACGCTTTAACCACTAGGCTGGAATTGTTATAAAATCATAAAGATACCAAGAACCCCTTTAACTTCAAAGCCTTTTCGTCCTGACATTAGCGCTGTGAGCATGCATGGAAACATGTGGTTTATAAATGAACTATTATCATTATTATTATTAATCAGAAAGTAACAACCATAGAATATATATGACCCAAACACTGTACTTACGTTTGTAAGATGAGAGGCTGCATCTTCCCTTTGAGTAGCTCAACATGTATGGAAGTAGATAAGGCACAGGCTACAAGGGGATTGGCAATAGAGATAAGCTGGTCACAATAATCCAACCACGACAAGAAAGATATTAGTGTGCGCTTGCCGATGAAAGACTGATGGTCTTCTCGCTCGGTGAACACATCCAGACTGAAAACAACAAAACGACATTGTAATAAGTATTGCATGACAGAAGGTTACTTGAATTAATGCTATTGGTGATAGTTTGTTAGGGAAATAGCACATCACAATTTACAGACAGAGTTGTGTCCCTTTAATGCAGCCACTGTCAGGATAGTACCATATAATACCTTATTTTGACATGCAAAATACTGTCAGAATCTGAAAAACTATTCTATACATGATGATGTCAAGCCTAAAAATATTTATTGATTTAGTAACCATACCAATCCATTTAACCTTTTTGTAAGGATTTTATGTCACTTCATTCAATTATTCCTCACTGGTTGAAATTTCAAAGGTACCTTCATACTGAAAAAAGATTTCTTCAGAGCAATGTATTATTGTAAATTAGAATAGACCAATAAACAGTTAACAAAGAGGTGGGGGTGAGGTCAGAGATGAGGTGGGGGTGAGGTCGGAGATGAGGGTGGCAAATGTCAAAACTAGATTTCAATTCACTGAATTTGATGCAATCCTGCTATGATGGAATGCCTCACAAGGTTCCTGTTTTGTGACAATAGTCACTAAATATGACTAAGATAAAAGAATAACAGTTACTGATCTGTCTGTAGTCTTTACAGATTTCCCATTTATGGACATGATACAGAGAGTTAAATATCCTCCCCCCATGGACTCTCACATTTAGATAATGAAGATAACCTACCCCATTGACTCTCACATTTAGATAATGAAGATGACCTACCCCACTGACTCTCACATTTAGATAATGAAGATGACCTACCCCATTGACTCTCACATTTTAGATAATGAAGATGACCTACCCCTACTGACTCTCACATTTAGATAATGAAGATGACCTACCCCATTGACTCTCACATTTTAGATAATAATGAAGATGACCTACCCCCATTGACTCTCACATTTAGATAATGAAGATGACCTACCCCATTGACTCTCACATTTTAGATAATGAAGATGACCTACCCCATTGACTCTCACATTTTAGATAATGAAGATGACCTACCCCCACTGACTCTCACATTTAGATAATGAAGATGACCTACCCCATTGACTCTCACATTTAGATAATGAAGATGACCTACCCCATTGACTCTCACAATTAGATAATGAAGATGACCTACCCCCATTGACTCTCACAATTAGATAATGAAGATGACCTACCCCCACTGACTCTCACATTTAGATAATGAAGATGACCTACCCCCATTTTGCATCCACAGAGTCAATGTCTGCGGGACTGATGACGGTTGGCAGATCCTGGTACAACTGACACAGCCTCTCTGTGAGATGCAGACAGAACTTGGTGTCCGCTACGATACACTTGGCAGCCGACTCTTCAGGAAGGCTCACACACAGCATCAGACCCTCACACGCCTTCACTGATATACGGGCGTCCTGGAGACATGAGTGAGATCAGAGTAACACTGTTCTGAACAGTACGTGTAACAGCTTGAGGAAATTTCGAAGAAATGTAGGTGTCAGACATTGGTGATCACATTAGTGACACCAACAAGTACATGTGTGTTGCTGGCAAACCTAGGAATGAATTCAGGGCAAACTGGGATTCGAACCTAGGATCAGAGGTGGCTGACATGGAAATTGCATGTACATGGGCGATCTGATAATGCTTCCAATAACAGCATATCGACCATTTCAGTACAATAATAGTCAACAGCCCGCCATTCCTGAAACAGCTTATATGTCAAATTTCATAACTTCTGAGTGTTATGTGGCAGTGAAACTCATTGTGTAACAAAGTTCTAAGCGGTGTGCTATATTTAGACTGAAGTTCTGGAAAGTACTAAAACCCTTCAGGCCTGTCCAGAGACATAAAAAACATAACAAAATGATCTGAAACCTATTTCTTAGGTATATAAGGGGAGTTATAGTATGACCAGAAATTATTGAGAATTTTAGGAATATGTTTAATATGATTTCTAGTATAAACAACCTTAACCAGCTATCAAGTGCTTCGTTTCATTCAAGAGAGACAACTCTGTTAATCCTTTTTCATTAGTTTGTGAAGAGTTATCCCCCTTTGTTTACTTGCTAGCAGACGACATTTTCAGTGATCCTCAGTATGGATGATTTAAAGAAGAGGAAGTTGATTTTAGAGTATTATAACAAGAACATCAGACAGCTAAAGTGATTTCAAGTAGAACAGGCATCCCTTTGTCCACTGTTTATAGTGGTGAAAAATATTGCAAATGGATATGGCATTGAGCACCAGGGAGGCGCAGGTAGGCCCAGAAAATTGACTGTCGGTGACAGGAGGCGGCTTGGTATTCTTGTTTCTAAACACAAACGAAGGAGTTTAGAAAACTTAAGGCTGGATATGATTGATAGAGTAACTGTGGCTGTCTGTAAGGAGACAATTAGAACTGAGCTGCATGCAATGGGTTGGCAGAAAAGTCGAGGAATTCCATCACTGATCATGAAGCCTGAACAAAAGGAGCGAAGGTTGAACTGGTGCTTACAGCATAGAAATTATAACTAGGACAATGTGATTTTCTCAGATGAAAGTTCTGTGTGGCTGTTTCCTAATACACTGAAAATTCTGGACCAAACAAACTGAAAAACCTTTGTATCAGCACCCAAAGTACAGTCCGAAATTTAACATGTGGGGTGGCATATCTGTGTTAGGGGCAACGCCCCTCTGTGTATTTGAAGGGAATATGAACAGTGAGCGGTACACAGATATTCTCGAGGGACATTTACTTCCATCTGCTCACATGTTCTATGGAAATGTTTTGATTTTCCAGCAGGACAACGACCCAAAACATCGTTCAAAGCATTCACAGGCCTGGTTTGGGACCCAAAATCTGACATTATTAGATTGGCCAAGCTATAGCCCTGACCTTAATCCAATAGAAAATGTTTGGGGACTTATGAAGAAAAGTGTCAATAAGAAAAATCTGACAAATATTGCTGAAATGAAAGAAGAGGTGGTCCGATATTAGGACAGCATGGACCACGACTTTCTAACTTCTTTGATCAGTAGTATGCCCCGCCGCATTGAAGCCTGCATTGCTGCCCATTGCGACTTGACAAAATACTAACTGTTCACCTGTCTTTGTTCTGCTAATATTCACATTTAATATGTGAGTAATGAGTGAAAAAAATTACAATCTTTAAATTCTCAATAATTTCTGGTTGTACTGTAACTTGCCTCTCATCTCAAATTACATCTCCAGTCACAAGCAGACCAGCATTGAGTGGAGCTCATTCTTACCCTGGATTCTACTTAGCCCCATTTGTGGAAACTTCACCATTGTGCAGTTGCTTGTACTAGCCCAGACTTAAGCTGGTTTTATAGTGCTGGCCCACTGAGATACCATGCCGCAGTGAAGCATGAATACCCCATTCAGACACATTATACTGACTCCGAGCTGACCAGTCCTTGTTGTACCCATTAATGCCGAGCCCCAGGCAGAGACCAACAAGTACCATATTTTAACGTCTTTTGGTATGACGCGGTCGGGGATCGAACCCGCGACCTTCCGCTCTCTGGGCGGACTCTCTAACCACTACACCACGGAGACGGTCCGCAGAGAGGTGAATGTTACCATCTGTCCTAATTGCTATAATCCTTGCTCTTGTATAACATGACCTCTGAATTTGTAGTGCCACTCTTTTTTGTACTTCAATAGTAATTCCTTTGTAGTGATTTGTAAACTTAGTTAAATTTGGAATAAATTGATTAGTTACATCACATTTCTTTGTTGTGTGTTTGTTTCCCACCCTTATCGACTGATGTCCAGTTACCTATGTCGTTTCAACTTGGGAATGAACAAACAACATCAGTTATAAAGCATCAGAGCAGGATACAGATAACATATCACTCTGATCAAAGACCATTCTTCATATCTGCAACAACTGCACAAATTGCAAAACAACCACAAACAGCAATCAGAATGCATGTAAGTAGGAAATAATTTTAAGCCAATTTCAACAACTACAAATTATAGTTATTTTATATTATTCTTTGGGGAAATCACTTATTTAATATACGATTTAATATAAAGACCGAGAGATGAAGTTTGAAATGCTGCACAATAACATCAATCTACTCACTGGACTAGAAGTAAGTGAGATGAGAGCATCCACAAGACAGAACTCCAGACTGTGTGTAGCCGTCGGCTGAGTTGACACCATCAGCGGCAGAGAAGGACGGTCCTTATGAGACTTTCCTGGTGCCTGAAATATATACAACATCAACAATATAAAGTCAACAAATATATGACGACAAACGCTCACACAAACATGACCCATGTCTAAAAAACGGCATTGTAAAATAACCAAATGGCTTTGACCAGTCGATAGACCTGTATTAGAAACACAGCGCTGAAGACCCTTAATGCGCAAAAAAGGTAGGTCCTTTGGGTTTTGTAAGGCTCAATGAACTTGCTCAAAGCATTCATGGCATATCACCTTATGAATCTGATCAAGTGTCAGTCCCAATATTTCACTATTCTTGACATATCATTGTCCTCGGTATAGCATACCAATATTCCTGACATACCTTCATTTGTGATACACTGGTACCACCACTTTTCCTGATACATCACCATTATTTATAACACATCATCACTATTTCTGATATTTAAATACTCCTAACATATCAATATCCCTGTTATACCACAGCTATTCCTCACATATCATCACTATTCCTGACATATTACTATTCCATGTTACTATTCAAATTATCACATCTATATTTATGACACTGGTTGTTTCAGAGAGTCTACAACCTACATTTTTAGATTACCTCACATCCACCCAGGGGTGGAAATAACCCATTGCCCGACGTCCGAGTCCAGTGTTTTTTTCTGTCGGGCAAGGAAATCTGTATATCACACTGTACCGGTGTCCACTTGACTTTCAAATGTTAATTATGTTGTTTATTAAAAAATCAACCAGAAGACAGCCAGTATAGTGGAAAGCTTATCAGGGCAAGTGATTTTACATGTGCCACTGTACCGAAGTACACTAGCAATTTTAAAAGTTATTTCCACTAGTGGTGTTCTGAATAATTGAAATAATCGAAGATTGGTCGCAGTGACCAAACGACCAAGCAATCGATCACATTTTATCATGATCGAACATAGACGATTTTGGAGCTACTGTTTTAGTCTTTGAAATACTTGACAATGGAACATATCGTTGAAGTTGTCAGGGCCTGAAAACGTGTTTAATTCTTAGAAAACTCACTTCACTAACTGAAAAACCATGACTGAATATTTCTCGAAGACTCCGGGAAGTTTATGTTCATGATATATTAGTCATCACTTTAAAGTAGCAAGTTGCATCATGTCATACATATCTGCAATAACAACCTGGATAGGAAAATCTGAAAAATGATGCTAACCAATTTTTGTCGATGATTGTTCGTTGGTAATGAAGCAATCATCAGTTGTGAGATTTCAACCAATTCCCAACACTCATTTCCACCCCTGCCACCTAGCATGTGTGTTTATTTGTTGGATTTGACCATAGTAATTCCCAGGGTCTACTCCCATTTGTGAGAACTCCCAATTGTGAGGCTCCCAGTTATGAGACAGTGGAGTAGGTAATTAACAAAGAAAACACACCATACTCCCCTGTCTGATAGAATGGATTCACCCTAGCTAATTACTGATTTGCTATGTAACTGAATCGTGTGGAAGTCTTAATGAAACTTTATAAGATAAATTGATTAACATACACTTTGTGTAGGTAACTTCGTGATCATTTGAAAGAGAAATTAATTTACCTACTCAGATTTACATCCGTCTCCGAAACTACAAGATATAGTTTAAGAAATAACTCTGAAAATGTAATTTTTAGAGTAAAATTGATATTTTATACTTATCCTGACTCATGCTCTTTTGCTTGTCTTCTTCTTCTTGCGAACTTAGTGGAAACACTTGTATCTCCCTAATTGAAGCTCCCTTCAATGTAAAATCACTAATTAGTACTCACCACGAGTTACCCCCTTTCCACGAGCGCGGGAAACGAGGGCGCCACCTTCACCCATGTGCCTCACTCTCTCCTCATATACTGAGCCCATCATTTGAATTTACAGGGAAATCCAAAGTGTTATGTGGGGAGGATGGGAGGAGCTGACCTCATGAGTCAGGATAAGTATAAAATATCAATTTTACTCTAAAAATTACATATTTTTCCTTATCCTGACTCATGCTCTTTGCTTGTAGAATCCTGCAGACGGAGGTGGGAGTAATAGAATACTTTGGATTTTAATAGTTAGTGATTGATCTGTGATGATTGTAATAACCCCTATGGGAACTTCATAAAGGCACTGAACTGATGAATTCCTGCTGCTAACTTATCAGCTGCCATATAAAGGTTATTACAATGTACTTATTATGATAAAGTATATATAACATTAATACAATGCTTAAGACTGATAGACTTAAATTTGTTAATATGCTAGTATAAACTCCTTAGAGTTTGTTAGCTAAAATACTTTAAGATATAAACATAGTACTAAGCTTAAGATATGATTAAACTTAAGCTAATTATATAATAGCAAAACTCTTTAGAGTTTGTTAGTTAATATACTTATATGATATAGATATAATGCTGAGCTTAAGATATGAATAAGCTTTGGCTACATATATAATAGCAGAACTCTGTAGAGTTTGTTAGCTAATATATTTTTTTATAATATGAGTATAATACTGTGCTTAAGATATAATTAACTTAAGCTACATATATAATAACCAAACTCTGTAGAGTTTGTTAGCTAATATATTTTTACAATATGAGTATAGTACTGTACTTAAGATATAATTAACTTAAGCTACATATATAATAGCAAAACTCTGTAGAGTTTGTTAGCTAATATATTTTACAATATGAGTATAGTACTGTGCTTAAAATATAATTAACTTAAGCTACATATATAATAGCAAAACTCTGTAGAGTTTGTTAGCTAATATATTTTTATAATATGAGTATAATACTGTGCTTAAGATATAATTAACTTAAGCTACATATATAATAGCAAAACTCTGTAGAGTTTGTTAGCTAATATATTTTTTACAATATGAGTATAGTACTGTGCTTAAGATATAATTAACTTAAGCTACATATATAATAGCAAAACTCTGTAGAGTTTGTTAGCTAATATATTTTTACAATATGAGTATAGTACTGTGCTTAAAATATAATTAACTTAAGCTACATATATAATAGCAAAACTCTGTAGAGTTTGTTAGCTAATATATTTTTACAATATGAAGTATAGTACTGTGCTTAAGATATAATTAACTTAAGCTATATATACAATAGCCAAAAACTCTGTAGAGTTTATTAGCTAATAGATTTATAATGTAACTATAGTGTACTAAGCTTAAGATAAATTTAGACTTAAGCTAAATGTATATAGTAAATAACTCCTTAGGTTTATTAACTAATATACTTTTATGTTATAAACATAGTATTGAGCTTAAAATATGATTAAACTTAATCTATATATATAATAGCAAAACTCTGTCGAGTTTTGTTAGGTATCACATTTTATAATGTAACCATACTGCTTAAGATATGATGAAACTTAAGCTAATTGTATAATAGCAAAAAAACTCTTTAGAGTTTGTTAGCTAAAATCTTATATGATATAAACCTAGTATTGAGCTTATGAAGGAAAACTTAAGCTACATATATAATAAAAGTAAAAACTCCGTGAGAGTTTGTTAGCTAATACATGTTATAATGTAACCATAAAGCTTAAAATATGATGAAACTCAAGCCAAATATATATAGCAAAAACCTCTTTTAGAGTTTTGATAGCTAATATACCTATATGATATAAACATAGTACTAGTGCTTAAGATATGAATAAGCTTAAGTTACATATATAATAGCAAAAACTCTGTAGAGTTTGTTAGCTAATACATGTTATAATGTAACCATAAAGCTTAAAATATGATGAAACTCAAGCCAAATATATAATAGCAAAAACCTCTTTTAGAGTTTTGATAGCTAATATACCTATATGATATAAACATAGTACTGCGCTTAAGATATGAATAAGCTTAAGTTACATATATAATAGCAAAAACTCTGTAGAGTTTGTTAGCTAATACATGTTATAATGTAACCATAAATAAAGAATCTCTCTCTCTCTCTCTCTCTAATAGCAAAAACTCTGTAGAGTTTGTTAGCTAATACATGTTATAATGTAACCATAAAGCTTAAAATATGATGAAACTTAAGCCAAATATATAATAGCAAAAACCTCTTTTAGAGTTTTGATAGCTAATATACCTATATGATATAAACATAGTACTACGCTTAAGATATGAATAAGCTTAAAACAGTTGAACCAGTGCGGCAAACGAGGAACACTACATCTGGTAACAATACCGTCCTAGATCTTACTGATAAGAATTATCAATATGACTTTACATATACACAGAACAGTAACCAACGCGACCAGTGTGAAATAGAGCCATGGGAAATTGTCAGTTCTGACAAACATAAAGACAAGCTACATAGAGAACGATTTGACACAGGGTAAGCCAACTTCCTATCCTATCAAATCACTTACTTGAAATCTTACAATACCTTAGAAGGAGTTCAAGGCTGCGTGGTAAAGGATTGTGCTGTACAACATTAAAGCTGATGATTCATTTGAATGTGTAAAGAACTTAATATTTGACTATGCTCATGAGCGGCATGTTAGTATAACGTTTGTGCGACTTTTGAAGAAGAGACAGAACTATAACTACCAGGATACTTATACAGTGCAAGTTAACATTGACTTTGATGACTATGAAGCTGTTGTGTCAGGTAATCCAGAATTCTGGCCAGCGGATATTAGAAGTAAGGACTATGTTCCTAAAAGCAGGATGAGATACTCATATGATCAAGCTGACAACCACAACTTTTAAGGTGACTATGTTTGATATGTTATTTAGACAATATATCATGGCGTATATAACTTGTATTCATATCCTTATGGCTCTATCCTTTCTGACATGGAATGTGAGAGGTGTTTTACATGGTTCGGACTATATAACCAAAACTTTGTCATCGGTTGGCGTCATTGCTCTACAAGAGCACTGGTTATCTGCAGATAACATAGACAACTTAACAGCATTTCATGACACTAACCTAATGGCATACAAAGCTGTTCCTCGTAATCTTTCATGTTCTAGGGGTTCAGGTGGATTAGCCATTTTAATTAATAA